CCTGCTTATGCAGGGGGTCGGACTCGATGATCTATTGAGGTCCCTTCCGACCCTAACATCTATGAATCTATGGAGGTGAACAAGCAGCCCATGGTCCTCATTTCTCTCCTTTCTGTTCCCAGAGGATTTCAACAATTCAACGTTCACATTGGTGGGAGTTCCCAACATGCGCCTCCCAAGCCTGGTAAGTCACATCAGCCAAAGAGCAGAGCACTAGCGGGAACACTCACATCCTGCCGACTTCCTGTGGGTCTCTGTCGTGGTGTTCACATATCCATCTTGTACCTTTCCCACCCTGAAAGTGAAATTCTGGATCTTACCTGGGTCCATCTTTGTGTAAACATCAGTAGTGGTTTCCACATGATCCCTGCTATTGAACATCAGCCCTATGCTCATTCCTGTACAAACAAATATGAAGATACAGCCTACATGCCAATGTGTACAACAGATACAGACAAGCCAATTCAGATAAACATGGCCCTGCTTATGCTAGAAATTGTTCTGTTACTTGGCAGTAGGCATCAATTATTAATTTCCAGTTTTCCCCTCAACTGGGGTTGAAAATAATGTGGTTGCTACTAGACAGGGCCAAATCATTTCCAACCCCAGCTACCCAAACATACCAGATGCATCATTCCACCCAGGGTACTGCTGGCATGCTGGCAGTAACAGGAGGGAAGGGATGACTTTGGAGAGGACCAGTGGCTGGCACTCTTTGCCTGTTTTGGTATTAGACTGTTGCTATCCTCAGCCTAGTTCCACTAGTGGGAGTCTTAAGGTGGACATGACACCACCATGTCATTAGACCTGATCTGAGCAGGGCCAAATAGCAAGGTAGCTAAAAAGCCCACCAATCTCACTGTGACTAGTAAGTGATTGACCTGAACAAGGGGTACAAGAAGGGGGAATCTGTAAGAAAAGGCATCTAGGTTCTCTCTCTTATTTGTACTAACCAGAATGAAAGGATTTTCTGCTTACTTACAATGACATTCACACAAATGAGACTCGGGGTCCTAATGTGGACACATGGAATAACCACTGTGGGTGTTCTCCCATGAGGGCCATGACACTGGGTGCTAGGTGGGGCTGGAATGGGGCAGGACCATTGCCAAAAAGCTCTGGGAAAGAAACATATTATACCAGAAAGGATTTAAAAGCCTGGGGAGAGGAGGTGGGAAGAGTGAAGGAAGGGGGTCAGGTGAAGTGGTGATATTGGGAATGGCAGTGGGAATAAGATGTTTAACTGCATGCCAAATGAAGCGGTTTCTTTCTAAGAGGCACAACCCCAATTTTTCTGAATGCTGTGTGTGTGTGTGTGTGTGTGTGTGTGTGTGTGTGTGTGTGTGTGTGTGTGTGTGTGTGTGTGTGTGTGTGTACGTACCACCCCCCCTAAAAAAGGGTTCTTGTTCTCCATATGGGCACTGAGAGGCAGCTTAGCCTCAGTTTTGTTTCATAGGTCCCTAACCCAAGGCTTCAATTTCTCCAAATGTATCTGCTAAGAACAACTGAAGATAAAGATGAACTCATTTGTAAGCTTTGATTATAAGCAGGATTCCCCTATGTTCCCTTCACCATAGGGTTTGATACATTTGGCTTTGACTCTGAGCTTTGTCAAGCTTCAGACCTTCCTGTTTTGGAAGAGAAACCAGTAGCTTGCAAGTCTGTTCTTGGTTAACTCCCATGCCCTTGAATTCTTTGTTAGTGCATGCTAAACTACAGGGCATAGAGGGTAAGGCAGCAAGATAACCTCTGTGGGTCCCATTATTTAAGGATTGTAGAATCCAAAGCCCACAACAACCATTCATACAAGGGTTTTTGAGACATAAGCAAACATGACCACTGGCAATTTTGCTGTGGAAGAAGGTAAAGGATGTTGGATTGTACCATAAAGACCTGTTTGCTCTGAGCAGGGCATAACAGATGCTGCTGTTCATTTTTGGATGCTCAATCAATAACTCATACCCAAAAGTGGGATCCTTTTCAGGGCAGACAAAGTGATGCCATTTATTAAACAAAATGCTTTGCAATAGGTTAGCTGGCAGACAATAGGATGAAGGAAGTCCTCACTATATACACACTGACCCATTCAGATGCATTCCATTGTTTAACTTTCTGTTGGGACTGATACAGAAACCAAAGTTTCCTCTGTTTCAAGGCAGCATGGTGAACTGAGTTGAGCATAGGCAACAGCAACCCCCGATTTCAAATTGCAAATCATGATATGGGCCTGTGCCTCTGTTTCCCCATTGGTTAAATGGGATAATCATTTTCATATCTCTCTGATCTGTTCTGCAGCACCTTCCATCCAAGGCTCCAAAAGCATTTTCCAACTGCTGATGAGTTGGAGGTCACTAAGTAATATTGGATTTACATAATAGATGAGGAAACTGAGGCAAAGTTAATGTGTGGTACTTCAGGGAACCACAAGCACATTTCCTGGCTCTCAAGTCCCTTGCATAAGCACAAAGTCACCTCTCCCCTTTTAATTAGTTAATGCTGAAGAGCATTTTGCCAAGTCTATAGCACTCCAACTTTGAGAAAATTACTGCATAAGGATAAACTAATCAGACAAGGATCTGGAGCCAGGTCCCTGCAGCTGGGCATGGATGAGTGACAGGAAGAGGCTACCAGAGTGAAAACATGGCTCTGGATTTTCTACCTACTGGCTGGAGGTTGGTAAACTGATAACAACAACAACAACATGGTTATTATAATACTTGCCTTTCATGGATCTCAGCTCAAAGCTCTTTACAAAGAGAGGTCATATCACAAGCTCCACTGTACAGCTAAAGAAGCTGAGAACCAACTTGTCTGAGTCACCCAGCAGAGTAATGGAAGACCTGGGGATAGAACCCAAGTCTCCTGGGCCACAGTTAATTTCTTCATCCATGACTTCACACTGCCCACAGGGAGAGGCCTAAAATATCTCTTGAAACCAGGGTGCAATTTATTTTTGTAGTTGCCTGCACACCTAGGTGAGAATGCAAAGTATTATCTTTTGTCCTGAACTTTACCCCTCTCTGCTGAGCCCCATATTTGTAGCACAAGGCAAGGCCCAGGGTGGAGGCTTGTAATAACATCTTGCCTGCCTTTCTCTGTTCAGGGGATGACAGAATTGGGAAGGTCACTGACTGCAAAGTACCAAGCCAGGAAGATGGCTCCTTTCCTCCCTGGCACTGGCCAGGATGAATGGCCAAGCTACACATGTGCAATGGATGACTGGTCACGATTTGTCTCTTCTGCTGGAGAGTTCAGGCTGCCCAGCATCAATAAGAAAGGTACAACTGGCACATGCTAGAAACAAAGCTTCCACAACCCCCATCCCCTTCCATTTGGGATCGGAGACAGGCTGAGCCAATGTCTAATTCTCTTGAGGTCTGAGCTAGGGTTAAACAATTGGAGTCTCCTCTGGGGAGTAAACTGAAGGTAAAACAAGACTATAATGTTACAACTCTGATAACATATGCAGCAAAGATACTGATACTTTGCTGCATGTGCCAGTGGCCTGTCTATATGGCCAGCATGCTTTAAGTGTGGCATTTCCACAGTTTCCTGGCAGATATGCCACCTACCCACACAATGAGCCTCTCTCTCTTTTCTGGAATATCCATGCTGTTGGATCAGGCTGCAGATGGTTTCTTATTCCATATGCATCTGACCCAAAGGCCTAGACTAGCTTGATGCAAAAAGCCATTTCCAGTTCCTTCTATTTTAAAAAATAATTCGTTAATTGCCCTTTCTGCAGCCATGCAAATAGCTGCTGCTTCATGGCAGATTTTCAGTTTGGTTTAGCTGTCCCTGAATGGTATTCTTTATTCTTATTTTTCATCTGAAAATATCAAGTATCTAGCCCTTATGGCTGTAAAGACAACTTTCCTTGCTTGAAATGAATATAACCAGTACCTGGGTCAGAAGTTACATCACTCAAAAAGGTATGAAATTTCCCTGCGATTGCTGAGGCGTTAACCTGGTAGTAGGGTGATAACAAATGAAAAGTCAGTGTTAAGTATTTCCCTGCTGATCAGTTTAGCAGGAACATTTGATTAAAGTGCTTACATCAACCCCAACCCCAAGCCCTAATTATCCGCTACTCAACTGGCTCAGCCTTTTCCTCCCCTCACAACTTCTGTGTCAGCCAGTTATAGCAGTGTTCCAAAACTGGCAACAAACTGCCTAGTGAAGATATACTAAAACTAATATTAAAATAAACCATAGGTCCATAGTGGGAACCCTGGAGGGATTGGACCGCGAAGGGCAGTGAAGGGGGGAGGGCTTGAGAGGCCATTTATTTTGACTACATTGCACATTAAAACCAGACCTTTTTCCACCTTGTTGGTAGGCCTCAGAAGAGGTGCCATTCTGGCTCTCAGCCTTGGAGAAGACTGATCTGTAGAATCAAGGTTAAAAATCCACCTGAGTCTAGCAGCCTGCTGGGCTGGTTTGGTTAAGACACACCAGTTTTCATAGCCAATGGCACACAAGGAAGTGATACGGCCAATATTACACTTAGCTATCTTTGATTCCCCAGCCTGAATGACCAAGTGCCCATTCACACCTGGGGTAATGGGAATCAGCCTTTGGTATGAGTTTGGAGGGAGGTTCGGACTCATCTCTCTGAGCCTTTGCGAGACTCCAAAACGCCAGTTAGATATTAACAATGCAGAAATCAGTCTTTTCCATCTCCCTTCAGTTGCCCGGACAAGCTCTCCCAGCACCTTCTACTGCTAAATATTGTGTCAGTGCACAGAAGACAATGGGTTAAGCCCACAATTAAAGTATGAGGGTACAGGGCTGGGGAGCACAGGGGATGCTATCACCGGTGATGATATGTGCACCTCTCTCTCTCTCTCCACAGTGCTTGGGTTCAGTTATTATGCTGTTAGATATCTAAAGCCTGAAGTCACACAGACATGGAGGGTGAGTTCTAGTGCCTGTGCACTGTGATGCAGTGCAAGGGGAATTTTGACCGGAAGCTGTATGTTGCACTGCATAGTATTTTTCTGTTCCTCCACAAAGGCTCTCAGCCTGTTGGGCAAGTGGAAGGAGGGAGGTGTGAGGTGATACCACCTGCCCTGCTCTTTCCATATTACTATACAAGTTGGAGGCCCTAGCTACAGAGGAGGGTAGTTCTGGGAGGTCCCTGTCTAGGGAAGATTGAGACCCACTGGTTTAATGGAGCCATGTCACTCAGTTCAGTTCTGGGGCTTGTTGGCCATCTATGGGGAAAACTCAGATGGACCTGCATGAACACAGGAGGAGGATAGGATGGTTCCTTCCTGGCCTTCTGAAATTCAGTGACCCATGTCAGTTATTTCGGTCTTTCCCCAGCTATGATCTTCTCTCATGTCCCACTCAGCTCCCCCACTGCAGACAGCTCAGCATCTCACAGGCCTCTTGGGATCCACTCTTGCAGATAACAACCCAACATACCAGAGGCCCTGTTGTGCGCACTGCCCTCACACGGTACACACTCAAACATGGCTGCCCCTACAAAGCCAGTCTCTGGAGATCTGTATTAATAGACACAGCTTGCCCGTTTGCCCATTTGCAAGGAGAGATCAAAAGGAGGAAGAGAAGGACAGTACAGAGCATGGCAGTCAGGACCACCAGTAGAATATCTGCAACAGCCTAAATCACAGGAATGGAATGGGAAGGCTGCTTAGAAGTTCTGCATTTTCTTCCCAAGGCTCATCACCCTCATTGTTAGTCTGGGAATTTTTCCCTGGAAGCTTTACTGCCCACTTCCTGTCCAACAAAATGTTGCTGCTTCTGGGGTGGAAAACTGCAGCCCTACTATACCTGCAACAAAGCTTTTTGTTGCTGTGTATGAGGGAGGGGAGGCCCTATAGGATCTTTAGTTGACTAGAAGAAGCCAGGAGTTGTGCTTTACATTTTATAAGATCAACTATGCAGCAAAGGCATTGGCTCAGAACTGGCTGAGTCAACAGCGCCATCTATTGAAACACTAACACCACTGCCTAGAGCATCTTGGTTTTCCATGATGATCATTCCCAACCCAAAGTATGACCTGTCCTGGCTCTTCTCAGAGGTTTTGCCAGCTCACAGCAAGGGTACATTTTTTCTTGGGAAACTGAATTTCAGTTACTCTTCTCAAGGCATATGCACCCCTTATAAACAGCCCAGCATAATTCTGAAGTGACTTCATTGAAGTTAGTGAATTACACTGGCACAAAATGGGTGTAGGAGAAGTAGGCCAGGGGCCAAGGGGGTCATACAGCACACCTCACAGAGCCTGCTAGGGAAAGCAGTGAAACACTTTACCTCCACACCCAGCTGCCAGGAGTATCTAGGTTCTTGTAGCTGGATGTGTGGCAATAAAGTGGTTTCGATGGGAAGAGTGGTACAAACTGGTTGCAGTGAACATGTCTCATTCTCCACTCTTGCCTGTGTAATTCCAGTACTGCCTCAATCAGAACCCCAGCCTGGATCAATATGGTCAGAAGCCCAACCCTTACACCAGCAAGTAAGTATCCCTGGGCTTGTTTTCTTTTGCTGCTGGCAGCATTGGGCTTTCCTGCCAGTCACACTTTGTTTTCTATTCCTTTACAGCAACATATTTAGGAGCTTTGGGACAGCATACAGGTAAGTGCTTTTGAGACCATCAGGTGGAACAGGCATAGTAGTAAAAACTACCAAGCATGAATAAGGGAGAGGGAGAGATGGACTGAGCCTTTGGAAGAAGAGTTCACCAAAGAGTAATATGCTTGGTCTTACCAAAGGGAAACTGCCAGAAGAGAAGAAAATCATTTGCATGGAATCCCTTGTAGCCTTCCCTCTGTCTGATAGTCAGAGAGGGCAGATGGTGAGCTCCATGCTCCTTCTGCTGGCACTACTCATGTGAGTAACCACTCACAAATGGGAGGAAAGTGAGCCTGGCTTGGAAGCATAGAACTGCCAGTCTCCAGGTTACAGCCACGTAGGAAGGAAATGGAACATGCTTGTTTCTTCCTCCCTTTCTAGCATGCACGTGCCAATCTGGACTTTTCATGCACATATACATGCCAGGAAGATCAGATATTTTATTCCTGCTTTCTGAATGATAGAGTAAACCTCACCATGCTGCCATTGGCATCACTGCCTTCTTTCGTATGACAAAAATGGTGTCTGTATTTTTATCTTTGTGCATTTTTTGTCAATTTGGAAGCTCTTCGCCATCAAGCATTACCAGGGATCAATCACTACATGGAAGTGGCTCTCGTTGATCCCCTGGCATTGCCTAAATAGGCAAGAAAATGATTTACTAAGCAACTCTACTATTATTCTTGACAAAGACACCATTTCTATCATGAACATGCACATACAACTAGTGCATACAGGGAATGCATGAAGAGCAGTCATTCATCCTCCATTTTCCCGGCAGTTTAAAGTCTTTTACAGTGTCAGACTCCTTTTTGTATGCAGCATAAATACCCTACAAGAAGTGTCATAGTGTAGCAGAATATCAAATGCCACACTATGGTTATAAGTTTTGAAGCACAGTATTCAGGAAAGCTGAAATGTTTGATTTTTACAGTAAGTACACTTTCTTTCCCTTAATAGGGCATAGATCACCATAATTAACACAGTGCATATACTATAGGGAAGTATACATTGTCACAATCACTGTGACAAGTCATAAGTTTTCTTTTTGCTGAGTTTTGTGTTTAACTTCCCTGCCACTACGTGTCATTACTATAGCACATATTTTTCACATTATAAATAAAATTCAGGGTACAAGCTGAAAACGGGTGATAGTTCTATAGAACTCCAAGTCAGGCACATAATGTAGTCCATCCATCAGACACAGAAATACATTTATTTGCAAACAGGTGTACATTGACTGTGCATGTACAAGAGGAGAAGGGTTGGATCTTCTTGAAACGGAGGGTCCTTGGAGACAGAATAAGAGCCAAGGTGAGACATGGGAAAGAAAGAGCTTAAGACAAAAAAGGCTACAGCCTATCCACTGAGAGAGGTGTTCACAGAGGGTGCATCTACATGAGACATTTACTGTGGAGTAGACTAATTAGCTGTGCAGTGTCGCGTGTCTACATATGTGGCCCTATTAGGCTGGAGTAAACTAAATAAGATTTTTTACTCTGTATTAGTGCATGTGTAGATGCTCCCCCAGGTGGCTGGGACATGAGGGTGCTTCACTGAGAGGGCTGCCCTGCTGACTAGCCCCACAGTGGATCATCCTCGTGCCCCAGCCAGCCCCTCTACAGCACACAGAGCCTGGGGGGGAGCAGCCTCGGGCTGGCAGGTTGGCTTCTGGGGCCCCCTACCAGCTGGGACTGCTCCAATCTGGCTCAACATGCTGCGGTCCCAGGCACACGTTCAAATGGTGTGCCTGGGAGCAATAAGCTCCAAAGTTTATTGCATGTGTAGATGAACCAAGAAGGGAGAAGTAGCTTGTCTGACTTAATGCAAACTCTTACGGAGTTTTCCAAGGCTGTACAGGCCTTTGATAGGTGAGTGGAAAAGAATATACAACAAAGAAACAGCTATGAAGAGCTGGAGGGCAGGTGGAATTCCTGGCCAAGGCCTTCCTAAGGGTTGTGAAGAGCAGCATATCACAGAGCACCTTATTTTCTGTTCATTTTGAAATCCGGGACATCACAATCCAGGGGACATGGGTCAGTCTCAGAGGGCCCCCAGCATGCTCCCACAGGAATGGAAGATTTGTCTTCCCCTCATTCCAGGTGAGCAAAAGGCTCCGCTCAGCACTGCCAAAGCCCAAGGCCAGGATGTCCTTTGTTCAAGTTGTTCAGCTCACATGGTGAAAGCATTTAAAGCCTGTTACTGGGGCTTTATCAAACACTGTGCCTGTTTTCCTTCCTAGCCGCTCTCACTACCTACAGCCTTGGCGCTAGACAGCAGGAAACAGGAAAGGGTGTGGAGCCCAAGGTGAATCTGATCGGCATTTGGCAGCCAGCTTCCACAAGTCCCATGAGAATAGGATCTAACAGCAGCCCTGTGGATGACCAGTATATACACATGGTGCTTCCTAGCAAATAAAAATGTCTCTGAAAACAAAAGATGCCTAAATAGAAGAGGCTGAACTGGAAGGCACTTCCCAGGGATTTTCAGACCTTTCTCCCTTTTCCCCCAGTGCCCTTTTAACATGAGCTATGAGGAATGGAGACAACAGCCCATGCCTTTTTGTCTGTGGGGCACCATGAGCTGAAGAAAAATGTTTTCTGGGCATTTTCATAGACACCAATTCATTAATTACACTGCAGAAACCCTGAAAAGCTCCAGTCAAGGAATACAGCACCATTCAGCAAGACACTGGACACATACAGAGATGGTCTCTTCCCTTTCCATTCCAACCCCAGCCTGTCCGTTACCCAGTGTCTAGTCCCTCACCTATCCAGACCCTACCTCCAGAGAGCTCTGTGTGGCACTGGGATGGGTCTGCCTTCCACTCTCCAATCCAGTCCTCTTCCCAGAGCTTCTTTTGATCCTGTTGGGATGGAAACATGTTCTACCACTGCACAGGCTGTCACCAAGCAGAAACTCTCAGCCCCAGGTCAGCTTTGAGTTCTCCACAGTGCAGCAGAATGGACTCAGCCCTGGGATAGATTCAGTATTTTTAGACTGTGGTTTTAGAATGGGTGCAGACCTAAAAATGGAACCAATGGATCTCTCAATTGAGTCCATCAGTCTCTCTGAGCTACCAAGCACATAGATACATATTGCAGGTAACAGAACACATAACCAGAAAGTTTGAATGCCAGTACTGGAATTTGACCCTGCTGAGCAAACAAAGGCCTCTACATGATACCAAGGCCAGTGCACTGTTGTCAGACAAAGAGGAAGAAGCTGCTTAACTTTGCCCCCACTGGCCTTTGCATTAAGCGTTATTTTCATTTCTTTAAAAAGCTAATGGAATGTAGCTCCCCCTTCATTTTGGCTGACTTCAGCACTGCTGCTTTGCCTAAAGGGATGTCCCTACTGCAGCAGTAGCAGCCCAGCCACAGCAGTTCAGAGCTCAGCATGTGCTAATTTACTTTGCTCCTCCAGTGAGTTTTGCAGCCTGCATGGAGATCCATGCTGCTGCAGCCAGCCTGCTATCAGTGCTCAAGCTAGCTAGTGTTAAGCAAACCCAGGCATCTCTACAACACACTGCAGTGACTGACTGCAGTGCAGAGGAAGAGTTATTTGCAGGCAGTTTGAGCAGCTGTGGCAAGCCACAAGAGGGAGACATACATTACTTACTAAGCCAGCGTATTTTGAAGTCCACCTCTTAACACAGTTGACTCAAAACCACTGTGCTGCAGCACCCTCGGGTGTCTTGAGATCCTTTCAAGGGTATTGCAGGCTGCCACGCAATGTTAGCACTATTAGGTGTACAAAGAGATTCACAAAATAAACCCAGAGATTTCAAACAGGATTTCATAATATTAAATACAGTCTTCCCTGTTGTGGCCTTTTGGAGTTCTTTGCAACAGACACAATGCTGTATTATTTTTCCATACTCAAAAAATAAGTGAAAGCTAAGAGCTGGCATTTTACAAGGGGTGCTTGGAGTCTAAAAAGGTTGAAAACATTGTCTTAACCATTAGTACTAAAATGAGAAGTCTCAAATCTCCATGTTACTAGTATAACATACCTATTTCTGTGGCTTGGCTTTGAGTGTGGTGAGCTCAGGGCTGTATATTAATGCATACCAAACACACCGGGAAGACTCTGCAGTAAAGGAAAAGGAACCATTACAAACCAGATGTTCAGTTCAGTGGCCCAAGATCGGGCCCACATAGTATATAGGAGCCCAACATTAGGTCATGCTGTATTGTTGGGGAACTATCTTTGGATTGAATTAAGCTATGGTTTATCACATCAAATATGCATTTGTTCATGCGGCATGCCTTCGACTAGGCTGTATGCACAGTTAAATATGTGCATTGTAGTGGTTTAGGGGAAGACAACGTGGCCTAATGAAGAGGGCACAGAACTAGTAGTCTAGGATAGCTGACGTCTTTTATCAGCTCTGCCACTAACCTGCGTGCAACTTGGACAAGTCACTTCACCTTTCTCTGATTTCACTTCCCCCTCCTGCTGTGTCTTGTCCCTCTGGAGTGCAGGGCTTAGCAACCTATAGCCCACAGATGACATCTGGCCCACAAAGAGGTCCAATTCAGCTCACAAAGGTCTGATGGAGAATCAGTGGGTGTGTCTAGACAACAATTGGCAAGCATGAACCATGACGCCAATGCTGCTGCACAGTAGCAACGAGCTACTGTACACTAGTTCGTTGCTACTGTGTAGTATGGTTAGAAACGACCCATGCGCCTCTGGGACTACTCAGTAACGGCAGTTACTGTGGAGTCATTTAGTACTTGCTTTAGCAGTGCTAGTACAGTGTAGCTGTGTGACACGCAGCTACACTGTGTCACCCATCACTTCTGCAGCATTCCCCTTGGCTACAAAACCTGCTGCCCCACCACATCCATGCTTAACCTCACTGCAGAGGGGATGTGCATCAGTAGTAAAGGTAAGTGCAGGCAGATGGCTTCACCTGGGGGTGGAGACTTGCAAGCCATGGAGGATCTGCATCACAAAGGGTATCCTGTACTGACCTAGGGTGACCACCCATCCCT